GCTGAGAGACCAGTTATAAGGCCGTTTTCAAGAAGAGTTTGAATATCATGAAGCTATTCTAAAGTATTTAAGAGATATCCTAAGCATTTTAAGATGATTTTGAAAGGAATGACAAATTAGCTGAAAACTCTTCAGATAAAAATTATTTAAATTCTTGTTTTAGTTAGCAAAGAAAATGAATAAAAGATAACAATGCTTTGCTACACAAAATTAAGCTATAAGAGATTACTTCATATGCCAAATGTTTATGGATGAGATTTGAATGGCTGATAACAGAAAAGAAACAAAATGTGTATAGCTTTTGTCTATGTGTCTAATAATTTTTATATCTGTACTTAGAGTACATCTTTATTTTTTGTGGGTTTTTTTCTATTTTTATTGAGAAATAATTCACATATATTCCTGTATAAGTTTTAAGGTGTACAGCATGATGGTTTGATTTATATATATTGTGAAATGATTACCACAATAGGTTTAGTTAACATCCATAATATCATATAGATACAATTGAAAGAAGAAAAAAAATATTGTAAGAACTCTCAGGACTTACTCTCTCAACAACTTTCCTATATAACATATAGCAGTGCTAACTACTCATCATGTTGTACATTACATCCCTAGTAATTATTCATTTTATAACTGGAAGTTTGTACCTGTTGGCCCCCTTGTTCCAATACTCTTTCACCCCACCCTTCCTTCTGGCAACCGCAGATCTGATCTCTTTTTTCTGTGAGTTCCGTGGTATTTGTTTGCTTGTTATTTACATTCCACATATAAGTGAGATCATACAGTATTTGTCTCCACTGAACTTTTAGTGTAGTCCTATAGCATGCATAGTCCTAATAAATTTACTTTTTAAAATGGCCTTTTTCAAAAAGTGACTTAAAAGACCTTTATGATAATACTTAAATTATATTTAAAATAACATTGGAATATACAGATGTAAGCTCCCCTTTTATACTGCATATTCTCTATAAATTGATTGATATATTTATAAATATTGTAATAGGTTAAATATATTAGTAAATTTGTATTTAAGTTCAACATTTTAAATTTTTTGGTAAAGTGTTACAAATATATATTGGGTTGGCCATAAAGTCTGCTTAGTTTGTTGTATGGAATAAAAAACACATTTTTCATTTTCACCAATAACATTATTCATTTGGATATTTTGAGTATGTTGGCTATCTCCTGCATGCTATAACATTTATTGTTCTCAATTAGTGTCTTGATTTGATCGCTATCAATTTCAACTGGTCTCCCTGTGGAGCATCATCCAGCAAGAAATCTCTAGCACAAAACTTCACAAGCTACTTTCAACACATTTGGTCAGTGACAGCACCTTCTCCATACACTGCACAAATCTTTTTTTGTGTTTCAGTTGTGTTTTCACCTTTCTTGAAATAAAATCATAATATGCCAAAAATATTGCATATTTTCTTTTATCTGAAATGGCTATACAAAAATTCACCAATTGTGATGTTTGTTTTTTTAAATGCACACTGATATGACAGCTGTCACCATACATTCTAACAAAACTGTTCCAAATAAATTTAAAGACAGCTAAGCACTACTAGAGCTATCTTACAAAAAAATCCAAATGAACTTTTTGGACAACATAATATATTATTAAATATATTCAGTTATTTTGAACTGTATAATTAAGAAGAAAAAACTGAATTTACTGACAAAATCTATACAAACTGGATTTATTGAATAGCTTATGATACAGTGTCTTGTAACTATTGTCATAAGATTACATTTAGAAATTAAATATTTTGTAAAACATATTTCATTTATGAAAATGTTAATGGGGTGATTATATATTATTTATATACTCTGTATTTTGACAGGTTTAGAGAAATATGTATTTTTCTTTTTTTATTTAAAAAAAATTTTAAGTCAATCCACAACTTCAGGTGATTCTAACATGTAGCCAGAATTAAAAACCAGTATTGCAGACAGAGTTTTTCAAATACAATGCGCATGCAGCCCCCTGGGAATCTTGTGTAACTGTAGATTCTGATTCAGTCCATCTGGAGGGCCTGGGACTGCTTTTCCAATGTGAGATGTTGATGTTGTTGGTCCAGGGAATTGCACTTTGAGTGTGGAGGTCCTTCCAAGACAATATTCCCACAAAATCCCAAAATGATTAACAAACAGATAAGAACTCTTTGCCCAATTTCTCTAGCGGAAGGGCTACTTTCTGCATTTTTATTTTTTAAAATACCTAAGTGAGTGCACAGGCAAAAAAAAAATACTACCAGTAGAACTCTGGGTCCTTCGTGCCTGCTCCAGAAGAAACAGCTTGGGGTGGGAAGAAAAGATCTGGCTCCCAAACTCTGGGAAGCTTCTTTTTCTTATTCCCTCTAGCCTGACCTTTACTCTGTTTAATCTTATTTATTCAAGGTTATTTTGCTGTTCTTATTCTGCACTGTCCCTGCTGCTCCCCTCTCCCTTCCTTACTCCCGTCCCTCCCCAACATCACCATCCGTTAATGTGCCCAGCCTGAGCCTGAGCTAAGTGCAATTGGCTCCCACCAAGTGATCATAGTCTAATCACCCACACTGGCTGAGTCAAGGGCCAGAGGCTCCTGGATCAGCAAGGCCAGCCCCAGCTGTGGAGAAGCCCACCATTGGCACCAGTGTGAATTCCAGAGGCCACAGTGAGAGTGTGCTGCCCCCAAGTAAGCCCCCACCTACCCTGTTGGGGTAATTGCATCCATGGTGGAGCAGGCCTGCCCTGTGAGGCCTCAGGTAGATGGGCAACCTCTGGCCTAGAGAAATATTTTGATAATTGTGTTTTTATTGATTAGCCATAATAATACCAATTAATTTATTGTCACATTAGAGAAGAGGCTGTTGTTGCTATTTATGTAGCACTACTCATAGCTTCATAAATATTGAACAACCAATTATTTAATAGTAATTTTACTATGTAGTATTGATAATTTTACTTCTCTTAAATTATTAGATCATTTATAAGAAGTATTTTTATGAAAGCAAGTAAACTTAAAAATAACACAATTATAACATGTATGTGTATGTTTGTGATCATGCCTGGTGTGAGTATACTTCTAGTATCAATAAGAATCACATTCATTTAGATTTGTACAAATATTCATCAAATATGTGATCCTAAAGAAAGATATTTTATTGGGGCTCATTCTGATAAGAATTAACTTCAAAAAATTAATGGCAATTGTTCTTTCTGTCCTACAAACACAAGCAGAAGCCTTATGCATAAATTTATTATTGCTAAATTTGGGTTTTTGTATATTTTTAAATATAGTATTTTGTGAAAATTATTGGGGTAAAATAGTGTGTTAAAACATTTTATGTCACTGGAAAATTATTTTAATTTTGTATAACAGTGTTAACTTAGAAATTGGTCAGAAGTGGTTTCTTTAAGACCAGAAATAACTAAGCCCTTTATCCTTCTGGATGTTGGATGCACACCGAGCATTGGATCCTTCTTCCTAGGTCTTCCATTCCTGTACAACTATACACTGAAAATGACAATGTAGATTTAAGCAAAGAGAAAATCAGGTTCAATAAAACTTTCTATCACATAATTTTACTCATTTACATTTTCATGATTTTTTGTGAGAATTTACTCATTTGCATTCCATTTTCATGATTTTTGCCACTTGTATATAGTACATATACCTTATTTACTAAATACTTGTCTGCCTACTTTTTAACTAATTCAAAATTTTAAAGTAAATTTATTTCAGTATAATACATAGAAAATTACATGAACAAAAAATTATCACTGCCAATTAATTCAACACCAAGAGGATTCCTAGATTTGGGGTTCAGTGAATGAGGATACTTTATTCTATGAAAACAGATCAATTGTAAAACAGCATGGCTGTGAAACACTTCAGTTGTTTAACCCCATGGATGTGGAACAGCACAGCTGTGGAACAGTTTGGGTGATAAGGCCCAGGCAAGGAGGCTCCAGTATCACAGCTTCCATGCCACAGATCAGCCCAGGCAAGACAGCTCCACTCCAGTGTTACATCTCCTGCCAAGGAAACGGTCTTCAATGGGAACTGAAAGTGTGCTCCAAGAGACAGAGAGGAGACTGACGTACAGAGAAGTTCCCAGACCTTGTCCTTGATTAGTCCATTTCTATGCAAATAAGAACTCCAAATCATCATAGTTTGATTGATCCAAATAGCAGCATACTGATTGGTCAGAATGAAGCCATTCTGATTGGTTGGTGAAATGCAAACGAGGACATAGCTATATAGCTAGCTCTGGGTAGATGGGGAAACTCTCAAACTTATTGGTAGAATTTTGACCCTTGGAGTTCTTACAAGGGTCTACTCAGAAGGCAGGAAGGAGCTCAAGGCAGCACAATGGCTGCTAGACTCTGATTATGAATTTGGGCTTGATTAACCATAATTTGGGCAGGTATATTTTCAGGGTCATCAATTGTTTACCATAAAAAATAAAAATAATTAAAAATAAAGCCATGCTATCAAACTATAGCTGAATCTTGCTTGCTAAGGTCTCTGAATATAAGTCCAGCCCTCATTTTGTTAAAAAAAATTTAGCCGTTAAGAAAGATATTGAAGATACCCTAGCACAACACTGGGATTTTTTCCTTGAACACTCAGGACTGAGGAAGAAATGGAACACAAATACATTTTTAACAGTGTGATTCAATGTTATTTAATGCCATCTTTCTGGACTACACAAAATGATTCTTTTCTGTCACTGATGGACACCTCTACTTCAATAAGCACTGCTGTTTTGTGTGTATGTGTGTTTCAGGTATGCCTTTTCAAATTAGCTGCCTTAAGTAAAATGTGAAGTCACTCTTGTGTTACTAATTTTGAATAATTTTATAGTTAATATTAACATATATTGATTTTCTGTGTGTGCGTAACACTGAACTCTGATTCAAAGTGTGTTTCAATTAAAATATATTGCACAAATGCAACAAAAAGAGCTCTAGGAATAACAGAAATGTTTTTCCTATTTTTGCAGCTTGCAGACCAGGATTCTATAAAGCATTTGCTGGGAACACAAAATGTTCTAAATGCCCTCCACACAGTTTAACCTACATGGAAGCAACTTCTGTCTGTCAGTGTGAAAAGGGTTACTTCCGAGCTGAAAAAGACCCACCTTCTATGGCATGTACCAGTAAGTCTATATATTTTGCATTTGGAAATCCTATTTCAGACCCTTTTGACTTCTTCATTCTAACTTTTTTAATGTAGATATACAAAATCCCGTACTATTAATATTAATTGCCTTTGATAATAGCCAAGGAAAAAGTTTCGCTTCGTTCTCAGCAGTTTTCAGCTGCTTGCAAAGAATGTGTTCATTCCTCAAAATTCACGTTGACCCTTGACATGCAAATACCAACACTGATTTGAAGAACTGTAAATTTTCCCTAACCATAATTGGTCCTTAGGAAATTAAAGTAGTTTAAAGCTACCTGAGAATTTATAAGCAAAACTTCTCTTCTTTGCTTTAACGCTTGACCATTTTTTCAGGCACTTCAAGTTACAAACATCAGGTTTACCACTGTGGGGAAACTTCCAGATGGAGCAATAGCCATTGTGCTATTGTTATGCAGAAAAGTTTGAGCTTTCTTTGACACTTTTTTAAAGGAAGTTATTTCTGTGTTTGTTCAAATTTCATCTCTTCCTCTCTCCCATTTTGGAGTCAGGACCAATAGAATATTAAATCTAAATCTTAAGGTCATTTTAATGCATGCACTGATAATTTTAAATTATTTGTACCCTTCTATTACAAAAGTATTATGAAATATCTGTACATTTAAAAAATGAAAGTAAATGCATTAATGCAATGCTAGGCTAGGCAAAAGTAAAATGTCACCTTTCAGAGAACTATAAAAATCTTGTTAAATATGTGAATAAGATATTACAGTGAAAATTTGCCCATTGTTTTGATGAATTGATGCCAAAATATTGCTTATCTTATGTAATAATTCCCTAAAGGCAAAATAGATTGAGAATAATGTAATGCTACATATTCCTTAGAGACAATGGAGATGTCCCAAATCTAAGAACTGATACAGTTCTTAGACTGTGTTACTATAGACTTTAATATGAAATATTTTTATGGACACATTTAATAAAAATATACCTTCATTAGTAGAAATAATTTTTGTTTTGGATTGTAAATGCTGAAAGACAACTTAATTCAGAAATTTGTAGTCTGGGAGATTATTATCTAGATATTTTTTCCCTAGGAAAACATTTTAAGCTTATAAATAGGAAAAAGAAAATTCTAAATAGAATTTCTCAAATGATGTGGAAGTAGTTTTGGACAGAAAGAGCCTGCCATTACTATGCACAGGTAATCCTTCTTGCACAGTTGCTGTGTATCATTATCTAATTCTGTGGACAAGGTACTGCAGCTTAGATACTGGAGTGTCAAATGACTGCAGTCCTGCCAGGCAAGTACTCCTCAAATCATATATCAGAAACTGAATGGGGCTTCCTAGGGGAGTGATAGAGGAGAATATCCTCCTTTTATCTTCTTAGGTCATAAACAAATCGTTGAAAAGTTGAAGGAATATATTGGGTCTTATCAATATAACCTTTTAGTGAGGTAGCAGCATAGGTAGTTGGCAAAGCATAGAGTTCTTTAGAGTGAGAGAATCCTTAAGGAAATAAATGTGGAATGCAAGAATGTCTAGGAACCTGGAAAACCAGTCAGTCATTGTTGAATCAGATATGTGTACTTACTGGCTTAATGTTTTGGTTTTTTTTTTATTTTTCTTCCTTTTTAAAAATTCTTCTTTTATGTTTGATATTATAAATTATTTTTTTAAATGCTTGCCTGCCGTAGCCATACTAAGTACAAGTCAAAAAAAAGTTAAATCCTGGTCATTGTTGTTCAGTGCTTTAGACAGAGAACAACATTCTGTGTTACCATCACAGATTTAAAGAGAGAACGCATGAACAAATGTGAAAGCTTTTGTCATTTCTCCCCAGTCCAGTCCCAGGAGACTCTCCTCTTAAGGCTTCTACTGCTTCCCCAAGGACTTCTTTTTCTTGTTTTAGCAAAGACTTAGCATAGTGTATTAGTAACTTGCCATCTTTTAGAGTCAAATTATCTAAATATGAATCTTGGTTTTGGTGCTTACTAGCTATGTAACTTTGGGCAAATTATTTAACCTCTCTTAGCCTCAGTTGTACCATTTGTAGTGATAACAATAGTACCTACCTCATTCTTTGGTTATGATGATAAGTTGAGGGAAAATGCTAAGAACACTACATAGCACATAGAAGGTTCTACATAAATGTTTGTTTAATACAAAAAGTTGTTCTCTTACAATTTATTTTAAAATATTTTTTTAAAGATTTTATTTATTTATTTTTAGACAGAGGGGAAGGGAAGGAGAAAGAGAGGGAGAGAAACATCAATGTTGGTTACCTCTCATATGGCCCCCACTGGGGACCTACCTGGATCACAACCCAGGCCTATGCCCTGATTGGGGATCAAACTGGTGACCCTTTAGTTCACAGGCCTGTGCTCAATCCACTGAACTACACCAGCCAGAGCTTAAAATAATTTTTGATAAATTAGCATTTATGTTATATTATTATTCTGGGCTCACAGCTTCTATCATCTGCATTCCTACAAATCAGAAAAAATAGCGTACTGAGTTTTTAAGGCACTCTAACAAAATATATTAAGTCCTGTACCTCTATGCCTATCTGATATCAGTAAAGTTTTTGAATTACACTCTGTTTAGATGAGACACTTTGAGACTTTAAAATATATTCAGGAAAGGCAAGGACCATGAACTCCGAAGCATTATGGCCCATAAAAATTGGAAGATGAGATTATTGGGGAAGAGAAGTCAGGAGGTCATTAAATTATTAGACAGTTAGAACCTGGTTCTCCTCAGAGGACTGCCAGGGTAAGTTTACCAAGACACAAAACTTTTGAAGCCACAATTTAAACAAGTAGTCAAACTTTCCCATCTTTCATTAACCACATATAATAGTCAAATTTTAATATGTGCAAGCTCTTTTAACTTCTAGATCATGTATTTATGAATTAGCCATTCTTTAATGCCTTTATTCCAATAGTGTGTTATCTAATGGTCAGAATTTAGGTCAGTTGATCCCATCACTTTCTGTTTTTTTCCTGTATAAGTATTTGAAACTATGCTTTCAGATAACCTTCCAAGAATTTAAAACGAGGTGTTTTATTTTTCCCTTAGTTTTAGAGGTGGGGAGATTTTGAATCTATGAGTTTAAAAGAAAATGAAGCACTAAAATATTGGAAATGACTAACCAGGACTTTTGGCTGATAAACGGAATAGTAAGGAAGGAGTTCATAGACCTATCGTACATGATTATATAAATGATATGATGTTAAGGACCCGAAGAAGTCATTGCCTGCTTCTTAGTGCCAATAACAACCCTTAAGTTTCTGGTACAACAATTCATGTGATGTCATCATTAAGAGTTTTAATGTATAAAATAAAAAAACAAAATAGAAACAGACTCATTAGATACAGAGTACAGATTGACAGGTGTCAAAGGTAAAGGGTGTTGGGGGATGGATGAAAAAGGTGAAGGGATTAAACTGTCCAAATTGGTAGTTACAGAATAGTCACAGAAATGAGGATTACAGCATAGGGAATAGTTAGTAATATCATTATAAATGTATATGGGGCCTGTTGGGTATTTAAGTGGCAGAGGAACCACTCTGCGAAGTATATAATTTTCTAACTAGTTTGCTGTATATTGGAAACTAACATAGAATAATACTGAATGTAAATTGCAATTGAACAAAGATAAATATGTAACATTTTTAACAGTTTTATCATTTCTTTGGACTTTAACTACAGAGATAGATTCTTTATTTCATAATGTTGAGACATATACATTATTTAAGTAAATATTTTTTGTTAATATGTACTCTTTTAGAGCAGTTTTAGGTTCACAGCAAAATTAAGAGACAGTATAGAGATTCCCCACATACCCTCCTATGTGAGACTTGCATGGCCTCCCTCATTAACATCCCCCACCAGAATGATACATTGGTTACAACCAATGGACCTACACTGACACCACAATCACCCGAAGTCCACAGTTTACATTAGAGGTCAACCTTGGTGCTGTACATTCTATTGATTTGGACAAATGTTCAATGACATGTATCCATCAATATAGTATCATACAGAATATTTTCACTGCCCCAAATTCTGTGCCTTGCCTATCCACCCTTCCCTCCCACCAACCCTTAGCAAACATTTATCTTTTTACTGTCTCCATACTTTTGCCTTTTTCAGAATGACATATAGTTATAATAATACAGTATGTAGCCTTTTTAGATTGGCTTCTTTCACTCAGTAATATTCATTTAAGATTCTTCCATGTCTTTTTATTACTGGATAGGCTATTTTTTTAAGTGTTGAATAATATTCCATTGTTTTGATGTGCAACAGCTCATATATCCATTGACTTACTGAAGGACAGCCTGGCTGCTTTCCAGTTTTGGCAATTATGAATATGCTATTAAATATGAACATATAGGTTTTTGTGTGAACATAAGGCTTCAACTCCTCTGAGTAAATCTCAAGAGCTGTGACTGCTAGATCATATGGTAAGAGTGTGTTTAATTATATAAGAAACTACCAAATCACTGTTTTGCATTCCCATCAACAATGAATGAGAGTTCCTTATGCCTTATAACCCTGCCACCATTTGGTGTTGTCAGAGTTTTGAATTTTGGCTTTCTAATAGGTGTGCAGTGGCATCTCATTGTTGTTTTAATTTGCATTCCATGTGATTTGGAGTATCTTTTCATATGCTTATTTTGCATCTATATATTGTTTTCTGGTGAGGGGTCTACCTAAGGATTTTTAGGTATCTCACATGGGTACAGTTGGGGGACAAAGATGTTACTTATTCAGAGCTAGTCCTTTGAACAGTTGTGTTGTTGGTGGCAATGGGATAATCTGGTCCTTTATCCTTCTTCTGGTCTGGCTATTATCATTAATTTCCTCTTTGACATTTTGTTTTCACTAACTTCTTGCTCATACCCTGTAAATATACTCAAACTTCTCTTCCAAAACAAACACCCTGTAAACACAGTTTTCATTGGCTCTGGCTACTTTACTTTTAATTTAATTTTTATTCTACTGCATT